GATGAACATACGATTTTGTAGTATTAAAAAAGGTCCGGCTTAGATTTACTTATCAATTGTTTTTAATTGATCCTGATAACGGCCAGTGTCGCCTAGTGACAAAGGAATGCTCTCACAGTGGCCATAAATTCCGACTAGTTTTAATTAAAAGTTTATTTACTTCTAAATGAAATGCCGTAATTTAGTCTTTTTCGTAAACTTTGCGAAGAAGTTTCAATAAAATTCTACTTCTATTTGTGTTAAAAAAATAATGGCATTAGCGTGAATACCATGACCTTCCTGAAGAGAGGCTTGCTAGATTAAAAATGGTTCTGTATTTTCTCAGATAAAAGATGTCCAGTCGCAATTAATTTAATCAAGCTATTCTTTCCAATTCCTTGCATTTTATCCCTTTTTACATCTAATAAAAGCACATGTCATTTATTTTTTTGTGGGCTTGTACTTAATGTCCATGTCCCTCTTAATCCTAACCTATATTATTGGCTACCGACGCCCATGGGTACAAATAGGGTTGTCTCTTAACATAAGCAGTTTTGCGAACGGACCTAAGAAGGAGAGCTTAGCACTACATTTTTTTGGGAAGTTTATTCTTAAAAATGCAAAGACTGGGCACCCTAGTCAACACGAGGTGAGCATTGCGCGGGTCGTATGAACGACTGGCCGACTATCAATGATAATAATTGATATTAAAGCTAACGATAAGCGAAATGGTGGCGTGTGCAGCGCACTTAAGGTGAAGTTTGATTTTTTTCTGAAGATAAAACAAACTTTATAAAAATGCTAGGTATCTCAAGTATAATAAAAAAATGTATGTGTGTGTCAAAGTTATAAGTAAGGTAAGTAACTGGCGATGGGTAATGTAAATATTTATTCTATATACTTCTAAATGTCCGTTACGGAAACTTCAGGAGCCTTTTTAAAATTGAGAATTTCATAGCGTATAACTAATTATAATATTTAGTTTTAAATTATTGTGACGCAACTTTTGTTGAGAAAGACCAACTGCTTATATTTTTCAGTGTAATGAAAATTCCTTTTTTTGATTGACTTCCCCTTAAGTGATGTTCACACGTCCCTAATCAATCTGTACCAATATTGTACTCTAGATATTAGAGCCGTGCGCAAAAAGGCTTTCAAAGTCGATATCATCGTTATTGATTGTTCGTGATTGTCCGATATTCGAACAATTATTAAGAGATAGTGAATTATTTGTTTTCATATCGTCTAATTTCTATAATATCTGAAAGCTTAAAAAAGAATTACTAGATAAGTTTATTCATTATCTTTATAGTATATTACAGCGCCATCTAGTGTCGCATTATCGGGAAATTTTTAAAAATGTTCCACTGTCATTACTAGATGGCGTATTACGAAAAAATAAATAGGAATGGTCAGGAAAAACCGTTTATTACGGTTTTAGAATTATCGCTTAGCACAGGGAACTCCTTTTATGACAATTATAATATGATACGACTAATGATAATATATTGAAAGGTTAAAAAAGCGTGTCATTTTGCTATTTCATAGTCGATATTACTGATATCTTAGTATCTATAGCAACAAGTAAACTATGTTTATCATATTCATTTAATCCCAATAAGCTACTGAAATTGTTATCAAAATAAGCTTTACATCGATAGCAGCAAGAACGTGTGCAAAGAATAAGCGTGATGTAATTTACCATATAATTAAGTAATTGATTTTATTATAGGTTCTTTTGACAGTTGCTGCTTCAATTTACGTATTTGCTTTTTGGGATCGCAAATGTAGACTTTGGCCACTGATTGATGTAAACATAAAAATAATTATTAGAACAGTTTCCGTATAACTTCCAAAGACCAATTATATTAGTAGGAATATTATCTTTAGCATAGGAGCTTACATGTATTAACAAAAAATATGAGTAGGTTTAACTCAACCAGTAATAAAATACTTTAAAAAAATAACCAAATATTTAAAAGAACTGTGTGACTACATAATTCAAGAGATATACTTTGATATGTATTACAATCCGGGATCTAAATAATGTAAAGAAATTCTTGGGTGTAATCTTAATCTTTTTGTTATGAAATTTTTGCACACGACACTAAAAGACGGTAAGAGACGTGTGCAAAAATATTTTTATATCAATGCTTAGATTAATTTAATTAATATATTTATCAAATCTCGTAGATAAAGATATGTGTTCTACTACAAACATGTGTAATTTATAATAACAAACCAATTTGACTACTACGTGTTTATAATACATCATTATATTATTATCAATTCACAAGACCAGATTTATTTGAATTATATTTAATTCTTTTTAAGTCGTACAGGAACTGACATCTATTGTCAAGCAGTAAGATGATTTCTTTGCTATTAGTCTCTAGATGGCGTTATATATCCAACAACATCTGAAACAAACAATTTATTACTTATATTTTATAAGTATTGTCTTTTTGGTGGCTTTTTGAAATATCACATTTCAGAAAGTTATTGCTATGTAAGCCAATCGATTGCTGCAGAATGCAGATCATTCTAGAAACGCGTAAAAAAATTTTTGCAAAGAATTTTCGTTAAAGATTGGACGTTTAAATAAAAAAGAGGTTTGTTATTATTTCATAACTATGCCATCACGAGATTAGCTATTTCGGAGTTTCTTAACTTCCCCGCACGTGCGTCGGTGACTTTGTAAAATGACCCGACACGCCTACGGTCCGAATTCGAGTTTCGGGTCGTAATTTGGCGCTTGAGGGTCAATTCTAAACTCATTTTACATTAGCACTGTGAACTTTTTAATCCTTACAATGATGAGTCCCTACTTAAATAACCTTATTTGTCAACATCAGCTATGTAAAAAGACCCAAATATTGATACTTACATAACTAAACATGTATGTTTGATAGAGCTCAGCTTTCAGATGTTTAGGACCTGTCCCTCCAAATTGTAAATTGTCTGATAATAATACAACGTGTAAAATATGTGATGGAAAAATCGAATTTTGTTACATTATCTGACAGTCACGTCATTATCTATTTCAGCTTCTATCAGCCAGTGGTGGGACAGGCCCTTAGTTTCTTAGAAACTCTGTAGCTCTTGAAATTAAATAAAATTTTAATTCTAAGATCTCAGTAGAATTCTTGGCCTACAAGGGGACATTTTATGCTGCCAATTTTCAATAGCGCTCGCCGCATTTCAGACAAACCCGAGGCATTTCCAAGTCGCGACCACAAAGCCACCGCACTCGCCACTCTTTCATTTTTAATTACGTCTGGAACTGAGCGACGGCGTCAAATGTCATTTTAACACTGCTCAACGAATTAGGGTTGGCAATTTCTTTGTAAAAATTTAAACTATCGTGTGTTATTATAAACTAATTTCATGGATAACACTGCCAACGCCTAAAATAGACAATAGCTAGAAACAATGTAAGATTATTTGATGTTACGTTTTCTAAGAAGTTCCAAGTTCTTTAAAATTGTCATGTAAATTTAAATTATGCTTTAGCACTAAAATTAATTCAGATTTCATATAGATATTTCATTCAATTTATATAAATATGTATGAAATTATGAAAATAAATTTCGGTCACATTAGCAGCCCTGCGCTCGCCATGTTTTTTGTCGCCGCTCCCGCGCTTTTTCCGCGCGCATAACGGCCGCGATCGTAAAATTTGTTATTAATACAGTAAAATTTCGGATTAGGTGGTATTAAATTCGAAACAAAGCAAGGATTTAATTGGTAATTCGTGTCCGGAGCTTGATATTTGTATGGGGCGCAATTTCCGTTTATTGTTTTCGGTTGTAAAGCTTTAGGACGCGGCGGTGTTGCTCGAATCAATTAACGATCGAAACCTTTTTAGTGAAAAACCTCTGTGAATGTAAACTTGTAACATTGATTGAATCAATTCTTACTGTGACTAATTATTTGTAAACTCTATTTCTACTTTGTATTAGAAAACATGAACAGTGCATTTTTTTATAGTTTGATATAACTATGCTTACATAATGTACTTCTCGATTAGGTTATTTTCTTTATTTAATTGTAATCAAACGTTCTGGTAATATTGATAGGCAACTTATAAAGACGTTTTTATAATTAAAACACACTGGATTCTATATTCTAGCTTTAATGATGTATTTTAAACTAAATAAAACAACTTAGTAAATAATGAACCAATTTATTTCATGTAATAAATATGCTTGACGTCTTGTTAGAGCTTGCGCACATCTGAAACTAAACCATCGCACAAATGTTTAGTCTCGTTTTAAGTTTTTAGTTGTGCAACTAAACAATTGAATTGGCTGCAAAACAATCGATAATCGCATAGGTTATGCGATAGTTTAGTCAAAGGTGCTCTTAAACCTATTGAATAATAATAGTGAGTAGACGAAATTAGACTTGACATCGTAAAAGTAGATTTTTGCATGTGTTTTAAAAGTTTTTTTGTTTTTATTTACAGAAAGGTACATTTAACTATAGTTTATTATTTATAACAACTAAGAATCCTTATGATTAGAAAATGTAATTTTCTTCACAAATTTCCAATATAGATAAATATACCAAAATTTAAGGTTATTCTTTACTTTAAACTGTCATCATTTCTTAGGATGTCTCTTATTTTATTATTTCTAAATATTAATTAGTGGTCATAGTAATAAGTACATAAATTTATCATGAGTACCCATATTCGCCATTTATTCTATAAACTTAATAATAATTAATTATTTACATCATTGCACCCAGCTAAAATATACAGAACCGTGATCCAATAAATTATTTTCTAAATTAACTGAAATAAATTGTCCTTTCTTTTATTTATTTTTAATCTGTTACACATAACAACATGTCAAAAAATTGAATTTGACACGTCAAAGATTAAAAATAATTAATGTTAAAAAAACAGATCATAGACAAAACAATCGTTTTTTTTAATCTATGAAAAATGTTATGTGCCAGATAATAAAAAGACAATTTGGAGAATTTAAATCAATTAAGACATAACTCTACGCGTAGTTTTAGTAACATCTTATAATCAATCTAAATAATATGTTAACTTATTATTTTGTTTTCACGGCACTTTACTATCACTAAAACTTAAATTTCACTAATATCTTACAAGTTTATTTACATTATATTAATACTTTTCTCTCTAGTTTCTAAGTTTAATTGATTTTCACGACTTAAATTTGTAAATAATCCTTTTCATTCAATTATATTTCATACTATTTCCATGTTCTTCAATTTAAATTCCATACTATAGTCTTAGGGCGGCCACACTTGAGTTTGAGTATATTTCATTCCTTGAGTTGCAAATTCAAAGTAATTCCTGCACATAATGTAGTTATTCTGCATTTGTTTCTTACAAACTGTATCGCGTCCATGTTATATTGTACAGTCACGGTCGTTTATTTCCTACCCATTTGGGTGTTATACAATCGCAGGTCGATTGTCACAAACCATACATGCTAAATTATCATAAGGAATTTCGAAGTTTCCAATCAGATCTTTAGTGGGATGATTTAATTCCTTGATAGCACAGATTTCTTCAATAGAAAGTTGAATTGTTTGTTGTAATTTAACAATGACTTCATTCTACACTAGTTGCAGCGCGCGGCTGCGTGTGTATGTCAGAGCGCATGTGCGTGCGCGTGCGAAGGCGGCGGCTGATGCGGGTGGTGTGGCAGCCCGTGCGGCGGTGCTGCGGCGTGCTGCCGACCCTGTGAACGAAATTAATTAGCAATTTTATTAAAAAGCTTTCGTCTGAGTAAACCTGTATTTATTTATCTTACTTTCCCTTTTTCCAATTTAAGTGCTGAAAACCTACAGCTATTTCGCATAATTGTTTTTGCATATCTTTAAAATCTACACATTTAAAATTGCGAGTTTTCAAGTTAAGAATCATATAGGGTTGCCAAAAAAATACTTGTGAATAACATATAAGGATGTCATCACAACTAACCTGTAAATAAACATAGTAGTCGTAGGGTTGGTGCAGCGGCCAGCAGCGCTGCGGGGGCACGGGGTATAGCGGGGGCACGGGGTAGAGGGCGCCACCGCCGAGCTTGTTGCGTAGAATGCGGCTGATACTGGACACGGAGGGCACGTTGTATTTGTCGCACACGCCGTCAGCTAACAGCCGGTCGCGGATCTCCCATGCAAAGATGCCCGGATCCTTTGCTTTTAGCTGCTTTATGTAAGAGACAACCTGGGAACAAGATTGTATATTGTATAAATAAAGATTTTAAAAAGCTAACAGAGACTTGCAATAATACTAATTGAATCTCTCTCACCATGATGATATTAAATAAAATAGTGATGTTATGTTTATTAATAAAACAAAAATAAAACACTTAAATTAAATAAACACGATGATTCATATTTTTAAAAGTAATTACTGTACCCCCAACTTCTTCTCCGCGATAAAAATACCTCTCACTTTCAATAAAAAACTCTTTTTCAATACTTTTAAACACTTTCATCACTTTTTTTCATGGAATTACATAATAAAGCCCCACAAAATGCTAAGAGTAAAGACACGAAGTGAACAGACAAACTGTGTCACTAATACCCTGACATTCAATTGTCTTTTTTATTTTTAAAAATTGCCGGGTGCCAAAAGAATTATGTACTACTATACATTGTCTAGCGTTATATTCGGACTCAAAACTATACCTCAGTTAAGTTTGCCTTGATAACTGAGTTATACCAATGAGTCGCAACAACAAGTATTAATATTTTAGGTATACCTTAGGGGTGGTGACCCTGGGCTTGGAACCACCAATGGCACCAGGCAGGATGGAGCCGGTCTCGTGGTAGCGCGCCAGGATCTTGGACACGCAGCCATGGGACACGCGCAGCTGACGGCTGATGTCACACGGCCTGTTACGAATATAGATTTAAGATAGTGCGTATGCGGTTATCTTGATGGTTAAATGTTTGTAAATTATAGAATTAGTAAAGTTAAGCTTATTTTATTGAAACTTTCTTGAAACATCATTACTAATCTATTTTATACATATAATAAAATTGGAGTGTCTGTTTGTAATATCAAAATGATATCTTTGTAATATGATGTCTTTGTAATACTTATAACGAAAGTCGAATTCAAAAATTTTTTGTCTGTCTGTTCGCAAGCTACGTTTGTTCCGGGTAATTTCCGAACGACTGGACCTATTTCGAATGGTCTTTCACTGAATGGTAGCTTTCCAAAGCGCTAACGAAGTTTACGGGCGCCAGCTCGTGGAATCTAATTTTGAAAAACCATTAACCACAGATAGCGTGATTAGGGAATCACGACAGCCCTATTTTTTTTCTTGAGCGAATCAGTTCAAGGTTGCCAGTGATGAATAAAACAGTGAAATCCTATATAATTTACCTTATGCCCAATTGTGCTAGTTCGACAATCCTCAATCTGACAGCGTTGGGCAGCGGTCGTCCGTTGACGAACACACCGCCCAGTTGGTTGACCTCCCCGTACTGCTGCGTGCCAGGGCCGCCCATACCGGTGTTGCCCATTGCACCTCCACTCGGATCTAAGTACAAAATTTATGGTCAAACATATTTATAGTTCTGCAATACGATATTCTAATTTTTCGGGCGTAAAGTACATCGACTTCATTTATCCTGAGATCCTATTAGGATAGGGCGTGGCTGCCTCTTAAGGCTCCTGATAGAAAATGGTCAACAAAAAGTTATAAAAATATACAGAGGAATTGAGTACCTCCTTCTTTTGGGAAGTCGGTCAAAAACGGCGCTGAAAGACTTGTACAAAAATATAGCTATCTCTGTTTTTTCGAAGACAGGGATGATAACGTTATTGTTCGAATGATTTGGCAGTGGAAACCCACGGTAATAAAAATTCAAGTTTGTGAACACAGCTAGCAAGGCATATGTTAGGTATGGATTCCAGTTCTGATGGATGAAAATTAAAATTGTTCTTCGTTATAACAATCTTTTTTCAGTACAGTAAGTTGCGGTTTGTTTATCTAAGTTAAGAAACATATTTTTGTCATCAATACATTAAACCCTTTAATAATGTCGAATTAGTATAAAACATGATCTAAAAGTATGAATTCGTCACACGTCCTCTGACACCGGACACCCGACCTTTGAAGTCCACAATCTCCACAAGGCGCAGAATTGCTCTTTTTGTGTTCCCGCTGCCTGCTCTAACAGTATAGGGTTGCTATATCATAAAACGATGCCATATTAAAAATTGGCAAATACATAAAAGTTTTATTTGGGGAAATTAAATAGCAAAAAACAACTTTATTGGTAAAAAATTGTTGTCTTAGCGAAAGCTTAATAAGTCTACATAAAGACAATATAACTCCAGAATTATTAACATTGTAAAATAGGTAAGGATATAAAAAAACACTACAGACAAATACAATAGTAACCAGCATATCATTTTATTAGGAGTGTCATATGTTGCAACCGACTAATAAATGACACCAGTGGCACTCTCGGGGTGACATTTCTGACAGCTGTCATAATGTCACGTTACGTTATACGATAGGTGACCACGACATTTTACTGTAGTGTGATACCCATTACCCATTAGCAGCAAGTACTTTGAACAAAAAACATATGGCACACATTTCAGGCCTTTACCTGGAAATTGTTTTCATAATAGCACAATGTTGTAAGATTTCAAATTGTGCACACAGCCTTAAATATTAATCGTTTTTTATATTATTATTCAGAAAATATTGTTGGTTTGAACAATTTGTTAGAGTTGTTTGTTTGTGAACGCAGCGCTAAAAGATGTCAGAGAAAAATAATAAAAAACACTGGCCAGTGATATATCGCCGGTCACTCCTCACCACTTGTTCCCGAGGAGTGCAAATTAGTCCTTGCAAAATGCTCGGCTGACGGCCGCTTGTTTTATTGTCAACAAGACAAATGAAGTCGGATCTTTGGACTTAAATAGCACAATGGTTCTAAAGTTGCCAATTTATTAGTAACCAGTAATTGCACAAGATTATGTCGCGTCTGAGTTATAAAGTTAAAAGGTTATATCGTTTTTTTAAACGCGTTTTAACTCAGTTTTTCAGAAAAATATAAATACAGTCGAACCTAAACAAGAGTCTAAGGGACCTCTATAATTGTAACGTTTATACATCTATAAACGTTACAATTATAGCGGTCCCTTAGATTATTAAATTCACAATTTGACATGCACTAGACTTATCTTTTCGTATTAGTTATATGTCTTTGTATTAATGTTTCCGTGGTTGATCCCCGTGCTTGTAATGTAAACGGTTTTGTTAAAATGTAAATCGACATTAGTTAAGTAATTATTTAAAATTATACTTTTTAATAACCTATCGGTACACTGAAGTTGGCTGTTACATTCTAATTTGAATGTACACAATAAAAAAACATAATTTAATGCGATTACAATTTTAAGTGAAACCAAAGAGAAGATGCGAAAGTAAGAATACGTCGTCATAACACATTTTTTATTTTATTGCTGTCAATTTGAAAAAAAAAATGTCAAAACTCTTTCGACGCATAATTTAATTTTAAAATTGTTTATTGGCCAAGATCTATTTCTGTATGTTCTTTTGTTCTTGTAAAAGTGACAATGCATCGGGTGTAAATTATGAGAAAATCAAAATGTTTTTCATTATACCGAACAAATATTAAGTTTTTTATGCATTGTTATTTCAGTCAGAACTTTTCTGTGCAACTCAGACTATTGTAACAATTTTAACAATGTTAGTTCATGTAAATAAAGTAAATTTTACGATTTTTTTTTTAATTCTTCGTAGTGTTTCTGGGAACGTGCGGACATAAAATTAATATTCTCGGTTTCTCTTTAAGGTTATGAAATACAAAAACATGTGACGCCGGCGTCTTTGGCCGCTAGAGGGCGTGGTTGCTACCTAACCGCTTGAGCACACATCTGTGGATATGCTTATGGATTTATTATATTTAATCTTCTACGGTGGCTGACAACATTGATGATCCGTGCCTGGGATGAATTAAAAAAAATAACTTCATTGAAAATCATCACAGATAATAAAACTGTTCCGTTATATTTGTTTTAACTTTTAAAATGCAATAACAAATTAAGACAGATTAATTTTTGTAGTAAAGTAGTTGAAAAAACATTTAAAATATCTTCCGCTTCAACGCAGCAATTACAACTACGGTAATTAGTAACTTTTTAATGCTTCAAATTCGCATCTTAAATTAGGAGCAGCAAGTATGTAAAATCTCTGTTACCAATAAGTTTGTAACCTTATGATATCGATAAACAAGCCTTTAACAGTAAAAAATCAAAAGCATACCCAAATGTCAACAATCAAACTTTAAAGAACGAAATTAAATCAAAGAATAAAGTAAACGATTCAAATTAAGTGTCATATATTATAGTTGGCGTTTCAGAAAGATTTTAACGAACCATTGAACTCTTTGTTGTGGCTGAAATTCGTAGCTCTAGAACGGGAAAAGTAATATATTTAAAACGATATTAAACATGAGAGGACGCTTGAATTAATGAATGTGTTATATTCACCGAAAACACTAGTAACTGTCAACGGCGAAACGTCAAAGGGGGCTCGTAAATTAGGCGCGCAAAGAAAGATGTTTCCCGCCTTTAGTTTTAGCTTCTCTTTCGTTTGTATAGCCTATTATGTGTTGCCGTCTCTTTCTGAAACCAATTAGTAGTAAGTCAAAGGAGCCCGATTCGAAGAGAAGGCTATTAATGTGTTAGAGTTGGTTTAGTTGTATCGATATGTGTTTTAGCGTAACCTTTTAAAATGATCACTAAACGTAATAGTATTGTGACTGTTTTAATAAAGACTTGATTCCACAAAGGTTGTTCATTAATATGAATATATGTATTACCAAGCTATTTAAAAATAAGATATCTCTCATTCCAGTCAATTGCCAATTAGAAACTATTAAAATTATCTATACGCAGATAAGTACTTCAAGAATTTAAACATCTAAAAGCTTGTAGAAATAATTATACACGTATATACTTTAGATACGAATAGTCATGATGCAGCAATAATTTTGTAAGATTGTACCGCAATTTTCCATTTATTAGGCTTTAATAAACATAATATTATGATACCCGTTATCAACTATTTACTATTAATACAAGCAATACGATGTTTAAATACATGACTTTGCTGTATTCTTATAAATTGATAACAGTATGTCTTTTTTCAACAGGCATTAAACGAGGGAAATAATGTAAGTGTTGCAAGAAATCATATTTTTTTTCCTCTACTATCGATAATCGATGAGCTCGTTAGCACATCACTAGCGTAAACGGAGAGCGTCAATGTGTAGATCATCGACTTCTCCATCACCAGTTCGGATGCACGTCATAAATAATTTCACGCGTTTTACACTTTATTAGTTATATCGCTGCAAATAGCTGATACTTTGCTGCATTTATTTTTACCACGAAATGTGAGTAAATACATCAATGTAATTATTCGTGAAAATTAAAGAAAACAAGCTATAAATTATTATTGATTCACTTTTTTTTATTTTAATTAATGTCTATGATTTGCTACTAGTGACTTCAGCAAAAAATATCTGGCACGATGTTGGCTTGATAAAAAGTAAAATCGACTATTATACACAAATGAGCTTTTATAATGTGGAAAGTATAGAACGAATCAAATGCAAATGTAATTGTATCATATCAGCAAATTCAATGTAACTGGCAACACTAACACTACACCTGTAATGGAAAGTTGATTAATTCGCGCGCAGGCCTCTGATTGGTCGCGCTTCAGTATCGTAAAAACGGCCATAAACAGTTGGATTTCATCGCTATACTGGCCAACGATAACCTAACGTTAACAAGGACGTTTTGCTTTGCATATTTACGTGTCAATTCCATTATTTATGTAAATAAAATAGTTCATTACAATCTGTTGACATACGTGGCTGTTTAGTTATTATTTCTTTGCCTTACCGTATGATTTAGTAATGCCAAGACATAAGATGCTTGAGAATTTTTTCTTGATTTTTCATAAAATGAAATGCTAAATGTGTTAGCAACGCCAGTAAGGCCTAGGGCCCCTTCTAGACCCTCAAAAGAATTAAAATAGTTAAATATAAAAACTACTTCGAATCTCAGTTGACTCCTGCCTTCTATCCTATATCAGCGTCTTACCAATAGCTAAATCAGTTTAAATATCATTAAAAGAAATAATATCGCATTTGATTGGGAAGTTACTTGAAATTTTAAACTAAACTTTAGAGGCTTAAATTGAATGTAGTAAGAATTCTACACCTAAATTTTTTCATGGCAGTGCCGAGATTAACACCTTTTCCGAGGTTAACACCTTTTCAGTGACACATCATTTAATAATTTAGTTCCCTCAGTACATATTTTGAAGGATGAAACTGGTCGGTATACTTGATATGAGTTCTCCATACCGAGGGCAGTGAAGGGCCCTCTAGCGACCACACACGGCGACAGGCCGCCGACAAACGCGGCCGCTGAATAAATACGACTACCGCTCGTCAGTCCCCAGGTCACGTCCCTTACGAGGTC